GCACCCTGAGGCTTTGTGGTTGCCGAATTGCGACCTTTGCCTCCCGGCTGCTAAGCTCTCCTACAGACCTCCTCTATAAAGCTCGCAGCGAATGGAGGGTCAGGTCTTCGGCTTTGCTGTCAGCCGGCGCTGCGCCACTCTATCACCTGCCCGGTGTTTGCACAACCCACGTGACAGTGCTGACAGGGCGTGTGCCACAAATAAGTGAAATGCCCTAAGGCGTCCAAAGTCGCGTTTCAACGGTACCTGACTTGATAGGACCCTGCTGCAGGCATTGGTCGTTTATGTCATTTACTTAATCCCAAAGATAGCCTTGATTTTTACCTTTTTAACCGTTTCCCCTCGTTTTCAAAAACAGTGGGAAAGCCACTGGTCAGCTGACATTCACCATTTAACCATATTTGAGTCTTGTCTTTTAACGATGGCATTTCTGCCGTCCCCCTAGAAAAACGGATGGCACTTTGGTCCACTAAACTCTAGTCTTTCCTAAAGAGATTCCTTCCATCAGAGTCGCCCTTTTCTTTCTGAGGATAATCAAGTACATGTTATATTCTCTCTGTGGCTTTTGCCGTGGTTCAGTGAAAGGGGTCACATGGTCAAAATAGGCAAAACCACTACTAGGTCATCTGGCTTCAGCTGTCCTGTAGGTAAACAACGGGAGACATAGTGAGGTGATTTCTATTTAGCGGTCACTTCTTTTAGGGAGCCTTCATGGAGGCCCAGGAGTAGGTAAGGGGCCCCTTTTTTCTAGGCACTCCTATAGTTCACTCATCTCATTGAAGTGCCAGGACCATTTACATTGCTATAATTCCTTCTTATCTCCGCTCTCACTTCCACCAGGAATGTTCTTTAATCCTGTTTTTGATCTTTCCCTATTGTATCTACAGCATCTGGAAGAGTTTATGATACAAAGTAGGCATTTAAAAAATACTTGTTGGTAAAAAATAAATTTAGTCTGGATTCTGTTGTGCCTCAGGTTTAAGCTAATTTATATGGAAATAAAACCGAGGAAATAAAAACACTGTATTACTTTGTAAAATTAGGCAATTCCGTATAATTCTACACTGAAATAAACTTCATATCGTTTACTGAACTTGATAGGAAAATAGTTTCCTATATGGGAATTAAAATTTTAAGTATTTCCTACTTTATTCTTAAAACGTATAATGTTGTTGCTTTAAAGTACAATGAAATTGGAAAACTATTGGTTTAACAAAATGTGTATTTTTGCATAAATAAAACTACCAACCTCTTTTTAAGTTCTTTAAATTTGATTCATTAGTGGAATTAGCAAGACTCTGTGTTTTTCTCACCTCATTCAGTTTTATAATTAACCAATAAAAGCTTACTAGCTTTTAAGGAAGTTTTAGGAACATAAGTTGATTTATGGGCACCATATGGTTACATCAAAGGATTTGTTTTTGTTTTAACCTGAAGTGAATTCTTGAGCCTTTTCTTTAAACTAGAAATTCATGTTAACCCTACCAAGCAGTAATATTTGAAATTGAGTGACATACTTTTTTTTAAATACCAAGCTGCCAGAATTGATGATGAATTCAAAAGTGTTCAGAATCTTGTAATTCATCTGGTTTGATCATTTTGTAGATAAGTTAACTATCTTCCCAAGGTCATAACAGCTAAACAGTTATGCATCAGATACCAGAATATCTGGTTTTCCTCTTCCAAGTCCAGTGATTTCATTCAACTAAATATACATTGCACCAATAGGTTACAAATTTATTTGCTGTGGGTGGTCTGGCTTTGTTGATCCACACAAATATTTTTGTCTCACACTAAATTTTTTTAAAGATTTACTTAATCCATAAAAGAGCTGAAGTGTAGACTGGAAGTGCAGGAGGTGAAAGACTCACCAGAGCCAGAATGGGGAGCAAAACAGGCAGACTGACTGAAATACACTGCTGAGACAGGAGAGGTCTGCTACACTCCCTGGCCTGGGATCAAACTCATGAACTCCTGCTGCAGATAGCTTCATAGTGCTGAGACTTAACCCCTTATGCCAACAGGGAGATCCTCACTAATTTCTAAGAGTTGTGAATGTGTTAAGACACTTAAGTAATAGCCACTGTTTGCATGATCACATCAACGTCAAGAAAATAATTACATTAGAAAAGATGAATACTTAACCAGGTCCTACATCACAAAAATTTTGTTTTACTGATTGAAAAACAAAAAGCAAGACCAAATTGGACAGATTTAGGTGAGTTTGGTAGGTAGAGTATTTTTAAATTTTATTTAATGGTGAACAGTTTTCAAGTAATTTCATCAAGATTGATCGTGACTTCATATAAGAACCATCTGTTCTGTTTTAAGATAGTGCACATCTTAAAAACTGTTGTATTCTGTCCCTTTTGAGACTGTTTGCTTTACAGTCTCTCTATTGGTATTTCTATCACTTAGGAGGAAGGACTGATACAAACAAAATGACAAGGAATTAAACAGTAGAATATGAAAATACACTTTGAATTACCTGCATTCTTAAAACATGTTACTATAGTTTCGTTAAAATATACATTTCATATCACTTTACAGTTTCAGACCCATAGAAGTATTCTTTTAATATTCTGTTTTCATGAGTGATTTTCAAAATAATTATGCATGCTTAAACTTGAAACAACTAGGTTGTAGAGGGACTGTCCATAAACCTAAAATAGCATTTTAAAAGAAGATATTTAGGACACTTTAAATATATTTTAAAACTGTAAGATACTGTCATAATTGTAAATTAACTTGCAACAAACAGAAGTTATGTTACCTTTAAGGAAATTCACTGTTCTTTACCAGAAAGATGTTTTTAATTTGGGTTTTTAAACAAGATAACTCGCCTGTGTGGGGAGGATTGTGTGGAAGTGGAGGGTGGTTAAAAAAGGAATCGGGCCAATCTGGGAGAATACTGAGTCATTTATGGGCAGCACTAGGGGAGTATCATTAGAAATGGGGATTCAAGATGTATTTTGCTCAAATTACTGTAGGAAAGAAAAGTAAAGAGGAAGAGAAAGGACTTGGATTTTTGGCCTAAGCAGCTGAGCATTAGGAAAGACTGGGAGGCAAGGTAGTTGAAGTAAGAGATGCATGAGAAAGGATAAAAGAGGGATTAGATGTTCTAGTTAAGAGCTCAGGAGTTGTCAGATGATGTGGAGTAAACAGTAACAGAGAGGGCAGCGAGTGAGAAGTCTTCAAAGGGAACTCAAAGATGATGGGATGATGGCCTACCTGGAGTGGTCTCTCTGACTCAAAGGATTCTTCCTCTAAGCCTTAACAGTTCCCATGTCTACCCCCAGTCTTTTCAATTTTGTTGCTTGGCATAGTTCTAATCTGTTATTTTTGTAATTCAAGGTAGTCTAGGCTGTAGGAAGTATTGCAGTAATTCAGGAAGATCTAATAGATATTCACTAATGGTATGTTACTCACAGAAAGATTGCTTGGACAGGTCATCCACATTAGCTCCTGTAAAAATGTCCCCTGGACTCCTATCATTCAGGGAAAAAAGTGTTAACTTTTTTCCAATTCTTTTGGTTATGAAGGAGACAGCAGAGCATTGCTACTCTAGAGCAGTGTGATTGGGGAGCTCAAGAGACTCTGACCTTTCCACAGTCCATTTTGTGGATGCGTGGGTTAAAGGTATAAAAGTGCCTTAGAAGACTACAAGATAGACTTAAAAATACAGGAGTCAGAAAGATTTCAGTGAAGAAACATTTTTCTAGAAAATGTCACGTGGCTTAGGAAAAGTAGAGGAGACAACCCACCTCAGAAGTCACTCAACTTTTACTCTCTGGGAGCCCACAGATAATTCTGACACAGACTGTTGTTTTCTTTTGGACCAGTTGTTTGTAAGCAGCCATGGTCACAGCTTTGTAGCCTCTGCTCACATTTTATTAAGGAATGGCCAAGTCAGGGTAGACATCACTTACATCTGTTTGGCTACAATACTGCTTGTTCTGTAGTGAGGCTGCTGATACTCAGCCTATAAACTAGATTTACTTCTGACCAAAATACAGTATGAAGAATTATATTTCTTAATCAAATTTTATTGTTTTACCATGTGTGTACAAAACTATAATTTGGGAAGTACGACCTCTACACCTTGATGACTGTTTCTGCTTCACTCACCTACTCCAAAATTTCTAGTGCATTACACTAAACAGTGTACTCCACTAGAAAGGGTCACATTGACCCTCTCCCCTTTCTCCTCACTCTGCTAAAACATCTCAAGATAGCACCCTGTATTTTTTTTTTTTTTTTTACTCATCTCTAGTTAGCTCTTAATAGTGGCTGGAAGAAAGTCAGTTACCACTTTTTAGGGGGAGTAAATTGTTTTCCAAATTTCAAGTGATTATAAGAAATTGTTTTCTTGGCCATAAAGAAGACAGATGAGGAGAGAGTGATTCAGGGAGGATATCATTGATGTTTGGGTTACATTAAATTAAAAATCACTTTTTCTGGGCTCTCCCTGGTGGCAAGCAGGTTAAAGCACAGCAGCACAGTACTAAGAAGCCAAAGCCACTTCAGCATAAGTTGGATCCCCAGTCAGGGAGGTGACCCACATGGCACAGCAGACTCTCCTGACCCACCTGCTGCTCCCCTCAGCAGTGTATTTCGTCAGTTGGCCTGTTCTGAATCCTCTCACCGTACCCCAGTTCTGTATGCATAAACAAATAAATATTTTTTAAAATAACTATTTTCCAGTACTGTAAAGCCCCTATTGGTGACATGAGTGAATTTTAAGGACAAATTTAACATGCTACTATCTGCAAATGACTTTTAATCCATTAGTTACATCTCTGTGTTTGTGCTTCAGTTACCACTATTTAAAATCTTTATTCATTCCAAAAAGCTCAAGTGAAAGAAATAGAGAATTCTGTACAAATTACCCTAAATGATCTTACATTATTTGAACTCCTGCGCTGAAATTCTTTCTTTTAATAACTTTTTTTTAATAACTTTTTTGAAAAGTGTGTTTCCAATAACAGATAATCACGAAAATGGGAGTGAATGACTTGTGGCAAATTTTGGAGCCCGTTAAGCAGCATGTCCACTTGTGTGGTCTTGCCGGGAAAACCATTGCAGTTGATCTGAGTCTCTGGGTTTGTGAAGCACAGACAGTCAAGAAAATGATTGGAACAGTTGTGAAACCCCACCTCAGGTACAGTACAGATTCTCAGAGTATAAAGTGTGAGTGTGTAATTACTTGACGTCTTGGCTCATGGCCTCTTTATTTCTGTTTTACATTTTGAGATTTAAAAATGCCCAAGTCAAGTTACCATTCCTTTTTTTTTTCCCCTGGGGGAGGGGGTAATTTTTTCCCTTTTATTTCTCTGAATTCCATGCAATATTAATGTATCCATATGAAGAAATTTTGCTTGTAACTCTTGCTAGGGGGATACAGAAAAGGAAAGAATGATTAAGGATGGGGGGTGGGAATGACGTTGGATAATCAGCAAGCTAACTAATGAAAGGGAGAAAGAGAATCCTTTATGAATTATCCTAAACTACCTCTTATTTGAATTCCTGTGTGAGATTCTGCTTCTTCACCTGCTATCTTTAACTTGATGACTCACAAGTGTGTGCCTCTTACCCTCTACACTTACATATCTCGCTGCCCACTTACTATAGCCACTGAGTTGCAACAGTTACTAAAAGCCAGAAATTCTCCCTCTTTCGCCCTCCTGATATCAATGGCCATTACAAGTCTTGCCAGTTCTACTTCTCTAAAATTAGAGGCACCATCTCAGTGTATGCCAGCGTCATCTCTCATTTGTCCTGCTGAAATGTCAGCCTTGTTATTTTCCTTCCCTCCATTCTCGACCTTCTCATCCTCCAAACCAGTTTTTGCAGAGCAGTTTGAATAACCATCAGTCTCATTTGCTTAAAAATAGTCCGTGGTTTCTTAGTCTACCAAAATTGGAGCTTGATAAATAGAATGTCATTTGGTTATAATATTTTCGATAGTAGTCTCTATCCTTATATTATAGTGCCATAGGCCTTGCTATCAATGTGTGATAGTCAATGAATTACTAATTTTTGCATTTCAGGAACTTATTTTTTCGTATCTCATATTTAACACTTATGGGTGTAAAATTGGTGTTTGTTATGGAAGGGGAACCCCCAAAGCTAAAAGCTGATGTCATAAACAAGAGGAATCAGATGAGATATGGGTCTTCTGGAAAAACATGGTCTCAGAAAACAGGGAGATCACATTTTAAAGCAATCTTAAGAGAGGTAAGTACTAAGACCTGACTAAATAATTCCCTCCCTGCAGCACCACCTCTTCCCTACAGGGGAAGGTTAGGGCAGAGAGATTTAAACTGGCTTCATCACAAATTCCCTGATGTTTTTCCTAAATAATTTAAATAACATGAGGATCTGAAAAACTTTTGGGCTCTTATTTATTATGAAAGGATACTTACTATCTAGGGGAAGGTATTAGCAAACTTTATTGCAAAACCTTTGACAAAACTGTCTAAGTCACCTAGCTAAAGTCCTGAAAAGTACCTTTTTGCCCCACAGAGGACCTTTTGAACCTTGATCGCCTTGGGCAACATCTGGCAGAAGTTTTTATTATGTGATTTAGCATGCACACAGTTATTTAAAGCAAGAGTTACTTATTCTATCAGCCTCTAGAAACTATAAATCAGTGACCTCTTTTCCTCGCCATGCCCCATCCTCCTTAATGATAGAAAGTGATATGAAACATGACAAGAAAGTGCAACACTCGGCTGTAAGACTTAATGACAAGCTACTCAGCTGGATTAACTTCATAACCAAAGAAAACTATTGTTTGAGAAACATCCTGCAGACATTAGACTTCCTGAGGACACCGCAACAGCCGGCCCCTCCATAGTTTCCCGTGATAGAGTTTTCGTTGTTTGGAGGGCCGTGATATGAGGGGACGGAAGGGAACATCATGGCCTCAAGTCAGAACTGTTAAATAGCATCTTTAGATGGCCTCACACGGGCTGACACTACGTGGATAGGATTATGGTAGCTTTACAAATGTAAATCTTAATGTGATTAATTATTATTTAAAGATATTTCCAGAATCTTGGAATAACAGTGAACATTGAATTACCTTTTCTATAAAAATGGAATATGAATTATGTTCTACGAGCACTATGATTTTTATTTTTATGGGTTACATTGTAATTAAAATTAAAAATTTATAACTTAATTATAAAATTTAAATCAATACAAAAGTAATCTATCAGTTGTAAACAACTTTAAATATAAACTCTTGGCCTTTCTTATTTCATCTATTCCCCCCCTCACCTCCCACTCCCCTGCATCTTCATTAAAGCAATTCCAGGCTTACTTTTGTTTCAGTCTCAATATTTTAGTGCCTTTGTCTAAGAAACAGGAACTGTTAAGTAAATAAAATAACCAAAGGACAGTGTTAATGTCACACCTGAAAATTTAGCAATCATTCTTTAATGCTCTGAAATTTGAAATGTTCAAATTTCTCTTCTACTAAAATCACTTGTTAAAGCACCTAAAAAGCTACTGTTAATATTTGTAATACAGAATTAAGCTAAACACTGAACTTATTAAAAATAAAAATGTTCTTAGATTTCCGCACCTACTTTTTTTTAAGTGTCTTGAGCTGCTGGAATGCCTAGGAATTCCCTGGGTGCAGGCTGCTGGGGAGGCGGAGGCCATGTGTGCGTACCTCAATGCTGGTGGTCACGTGGACGGCTGCCTTACCAATGACGGAGATGCTTTCCTTTATGGGGCCCAGACTGTTTACAGGAATTTCACTATGAATACCAAGGTATTGCCTTCCTTTTTTTAACATTTGTTTTACACACTGCCTGTTTTTTAATAAACTTTTTTGAAGTTATAGTTAAGTAATTAAATGTAATAGTGTGTATAAAATGCTTGCCATTGTGCCTGACAAATAACATGCTAAACAAAATATTTACTCCTATAAAAGAAATACATATATCACATAGTTCATTCTCTTCGAAATGTGGATTTCTCTCCTTAAGAACTTAAGATCAGCCCTCCCTAGTGGCTCAGTGGTTCAAAGCTCAGCACTGCAAGCCAGCCGCAGCCACTTCAGTGTGAGTTTGATCCCTGGCCTTAGGAGCAGACCCACATGGTACAGCAGACCTCTCCTGTCTCACCATTGCTCCCCTCAGCAGTGTACTTCATC